TTCCAGCAATGGTTTGAGAATCAATGTGGACTGGGGGTATCATTTGTATTCCTCTAGAAGACAAAGTCTGTATGATTGAGTCAATATCAACATTATACTGACTTCCAGTTATTCCAGTTAATCTTCCTAAAAACACAATTTCTACTCCAATATTTCTTCCTATAAAGTTTTCATATCCTAGTGTTTGGATTTGCAAGGTAACATGCTTACADAAATCACTAACACTTAATGAAAAGTTTTGAGGAGCAATATAAGCAACACCTATATTGTTATTTAAATCGATTTCCATGGTTCCTATAATAGCTTGATCAAGATTAGAAAATCTATTGTCAATCAGGACTAACAAGGCTTTTGTTCCTGCACCGGTTCTATGATATCCTTTAACTGCAATAGTTAAAAGTCCAAAATGTAGAGTAGTTCTGYTGGTTTGTCTTAATCTAATACTAGCTTCTCTAGTCATTAAATTAATAGAAACAACTYTTCCTTGAGGTACAGCAAGCATTTGTAAACTATGATGTCTAAAAAGACCAGAGTTTCTTGCAAACATCCCAGTAGAATAAAGTCTAGTAGGATTGAAGGCTTCTAACTGATTATGATTAAGAAGTTGCATACTTCTATCAACATTAATCATATCTTCAAGTCTTGAAGTATTAGAAGATCTTCGAGCAAATAAATTTCCTAGGGTAGAGAAATTTAGCCTAGTTTCTTGTCCAATCATTTGAGATCTATTATTTTCAGTAGAATCATTTTCATTGATAGTTCTAGACCTACCAAGAAAAGGAGTTCTAACTATCATTTTGTTTGTAAACAAGAAAATTTGTTTTAACTTTGGGAGCAGTTTTCTTTTCAAAAGTTGTTGAAAGATATATATATATATATATATATATATATATATATACTCAGATGCTTCTGTTTACCAAATTAATTGCATCCATTTGTGTTTGCACATTCATTGGTTGGCTGTAAGTGGTGATGAAGTGTGAGATGAGTTGTACATAGAATAATGCAACAATGAAGAATCATAAGTTGAGAAAGAAGGACAAATATATGGTGATGCAGCTCCATCGTTTTAATTATAATGAACTATTGAGAAATTAAAGAAGGTGATAAAACCTAATTAATTAATAAGTTAATTAAGAGTTTCATGTTCCCAATATTACGTACAATTATGAATAACTTACAAAACATATATCTCTGCATTTAGCCTTGTTATCTTCAATGATGCCCTCCCTTATTCCAGTGAATCGTTGAAAAAATCACTAATTACGAAGACACAAGTTTGTTGTTAATATGCCAATATATATATATATATATATGTATATATATATATATATATATATATATAGAGAGAGAGAGAGAGAGGAGGTTTTACTTTGCAAACCACGTTATTTGTACAAACCGTACAATCCTCATTCAACCAATCATATTTTTTCATTTTGTTCATTTTTTTGTAATTATGAGAGGTTGATTAATCATTTTTATTCTGGACGGTGTTAATCATGGACATTATCATCTTCATTATTTTAATTTTAGAGAAATACATGAAACAGTTTCATTAATTATTATATAAAACAATTTCATAACCATATATGAAACAATTTCATGAAAAAATTTCATAAGATTAAACAATGAAATCGACGAATGGGGGTGGTTTGCACGATTTGTACAAATTGGGTGGTTTGCATTTGATCGTTCCTCCCTCCCTCTCTCTCTCTCTCTCTCTCTCTCTCTATATATATATATATATATATATCAAACCGCAAATAAAACTAATTAAACAAGTGAAATGCAGAATGAGAGAACATATAAAAACTAATTAAACAAGTGAAAGGCAGAATGATAGAAGGACATACCTCATATTAACTTGGATATTTCATTCTTCTTTCTATATCGATGAGAGGTATATGGGAGATGAGGGGCCAGTAGGAGCCTCTTCTACTCCGGTTAATGCATGTGGGGATATAATTCTGGTAGGAGCCTCTTTTTCTTATTCTTCTGCTACACCTTTCTTCCAGATTTGGGCAGTTATCGATCCACAAACTCAAAAGTGAAGGCAACAATGTTTGTGGCAGATGTTTCATCTTTGGGCAATCAACAAAGCTGAGATGTTGGAGGGAGGTGAGGTGTTGGAGTCCCATTGAAACAGATTCCAATTTCTCAAAATTTGCTATACGAAGCCTAGTAAGAGATGAAGGAAGAAGATGGGACAATTCACTAAAACTAGTCACATCTTCCAATTCTAAACTTAGGCGGATAAGTGAAGTTGGAAAGTTCTGTGGGCCCCACTYTGACATWGGCTTCTTCAATCCTCCTATTCCAAGTTGACACAAATTGGGAGGCCAAAGCCCACGAGGAAAGGAAGCATCCATACTTGGACACTTTTCTATCCTCAAATATGTTAACGAGGTGAGATTCGGCAATTGATGATCAGGAAATGACTCCAGACTTGGACAATCACTTATTTCCAATTCTTTGAGGTGAATGAAGCAACTCAATCGCATGACCGATTTCAGATTTGACCAATCATTTATTCTTATAGTATCAAGCATCCACATGTTTGCATTGATAGTCTCCTCTGATCTTCCCCCTCCAAATTCCTTTTCCAATAGCTTCTTACAGTAAGAAATGGAACATGACTTGAGCTACTTCTTCCCTCCAGTTGGGAAGGAGATAGATGTAATTGAATGACACCCCAAAATGGACAAGCTCTTGATGCTATTTGAACAACTGCAATGCTCCATACTAGCACAAAACGATATATCCAACATCGTAAGAGATGATAGTTTGCTCCCACAATTATCCTCTTCTTTCTCTCCTAATCTCACCAAATTATTACAACCACTTATCTCCAACTTCCTTAAATTCACAAGAACCTTACATGTTTCTGTTTCTGATTCCCACACGTATCTTATTTCATTACATCTCATGATTATTACTTCAACTACCACCCCAAGATGCTTCATAACACCTCCCCACAACTGATCGGTTAGGCCTGAAATATAAACTATTTTCAACTTGGTGATCGATGAAGCCACTTGAACTAGCCTTCTCAACACACCATCACTACATTCATCTATTACTAGATCCCTTAGTGAAGGTAGTTCTTCAACTGAGATTTCAACCAATTTAGGACAACCCWTTATACGAAGCGTTCCAAGGCATGGACACACTGGATCTACAACCCCACCATTATACGACCATACCTCCCACCCCTGCATATCTTCAAAACTGAGAATTTCAAGCGAAGGAAATGCTAGACGTTGCAATTCGACAACTTTCACCCCATCCATGCCTTGAATAAATAACTCCTTAAGTGATGGTAGCTGCCCAAGTAGCGGTAGAGATGTGCATTTTTTACAGCCACGTATTGATATATGTGTCAACCGATCAAACATGCTATCCCCAACCCAGTTTGGGAACTTTATACCCCCATATGACACAATATTAAGCTTTTCCAAATTTTCATTACCGGGATTCAACACATCAAGGACCACGTTTTCAAGCGTTTCATCTCGAGAACCATCAAATACATCACTCCATTTCACCTCTAACTCTCTAAGCCTCATTTGCAATAAGTTCGCCTCCCGTGCATGCATTGCATTTGCACTTTGTCAAGCCCTTTGATGTAAATCATCTCATGGAGATTCTTCAAGTCTTTAAGCTTGGTTAGTGGAAATTCATCCGCTCCTCCAATCGTGATCTTGGATAGAGTTTGTAGGTTTTTCAACTCACCAATCCCTGAGGGCATCTTCTTCAAAAGTGGAGTATATCTAATGTCAAAATGACGCAAACTTGTAAGCTTTGAGAAACTGTTGGCCAACTTGGTTAATTTATGACATCCAAAAACGATCAAAGTTTGTAAATTATATAGATTGCAGACATTTTCCGGTAGATATTCGATTCCAGTTTGACCTAAATTAAGATAACGCAAATGCTTCAAACTGCCGATTGACTCTGGAACCGCGCTTATACGAAGACAAGCCAAAGATAGGACCCTTAACAGTGGAAACTCATGAAGTAAGTCATCCAAAATCTTATTAGATATGAAGAACCATCCCATTCTTCGTATGGCCCAAATGATACTGCTAAGAATGTTCTCAAATTTTTGGCTCCTATAAATGCTTTAAGCTTCTTGTCACTTATAAACCGCTCACAAACAAATGAAAGATGGCGGTACTTTTCCAAGGTGTCCATTCCAACACCCTTCTCCATCTCATCTTCAGACCTCCAAAAAAACTCTCCAGCAACAGATGTGGCCAAGTCATTCATCAAGTCATGCATCACAAACAATGAATCTTCGTTAGGGGCTTTTTGAAAAAATGATCTTGATAACAACTCTTTAAAATAGTTATGACCCAAACGTTCAACTGTTGACGTGCTTTCCCTTGAGTGGTGCAAAAACCCTTCTGACATCCACAATAAAATCAACTCTTCCTTTTCAAACAAATAGTCCTTGGGGAACAAAGAGCAATATGCAAATAACCGCTTCAAGCATGCACTAAGATCGTGATAGCTTAGTCTAAGAGCTGGAATAATTCCATCTCTCGTCTGTAGGCTCCATATCTCATCATTCAACAACTCCTTCCACTCTACTTCATCTGCTTTTGTCCTCAATAACCTTCCAAGTACTCTTAGACCTAATGGTAAGCCATCACATTTTTTCACAATACCTTCACCATATGGTCTAAGATTTGGATGTGAATCAAAGTTACTTACACCCAATGCATGTTGACAAAATAGAGATAGAGCATCATCGTACGATAGACTTTGCAGATGTTCTAAATTATCACAACCCAACTCTCTGAGCAATTGCTGCTTCCGAGTTGTGATGACAATTTTACTTCCGAGAGCCCCTGCATGAAATGGGCGCACAAGGGAATTCCAGTCCTCATAGCTTTCACTCCACACATCATCTAGAACTAGTAGAAACCGTTTATCCGTAACTTGTTTTCTAAGAGCTTCTTGAACTTGATTTACATTTTCAAATTCCTTGTTTTCCTCTGTCACTGAACCAAAGATACTTTTGCTTATAGTGAAGATATCAAACTCATCTGAAACACAAACCCATGCCTTGAGTTTGAAGTGGTTTTGCACTTGTGTTTCATTGTAAAGAAGTCGGGCAAGAGTGGTTTTACCTACCCCGCCCATACCAACTATGGGTACGATATTAAAGTTTTGTTTACCTGCTTCTTCCCGCAACAACTTGTGGAGCAACGCCTCTTTCTCACCTTGTCGTCCAACAGTATCAGATGCATCTGGCAAGGAGGTCTCGTAGTTTCTACTCATAGTTATTGGCCTCCCATTTATCACACTCAAACCTAGAGTGACTTTTTCCTTCTCTAGATCTTGTAACTTGGTGGTAATATCTTTTAACTTGTCATGCATCCTAATATTTGCTGAAAAACTAGTGGAGCAAGTTGGGATGAGCATTCTTACCTTGCTTGTGATGGCTCCCAGTTCCTCTGCGATCAGTTTGCGATGCATAGCATCAGTTGCCAAATTGTCGAGTATATCGTCTATGTCGTATGTCAAATGCTGGAGACGATTCAACCACCCTTTGATGTATTCATCTCTTATTTCCTTCTATCATTAAGAAGAGCTTGGATGTCGGTTAATGATGTCTCCCATTTGTTCACCTCGATGTGAATTTGGGCATAACGAGCAAGTTTCTTAAAGGCAGCAGATCCCAACTTTTCAGCGAGCACTTGAAGGATGGGAGAAAGTAGGATCTCAGCCATTATTTAGCTAAGAGAGTAGTAGATAGATGGATGCACACAAAATACAGTATCAACCATTCTTTTATAATGATCATATCCATTATTTTGGTCAACATGCCAATATTGTATATTTTTCAAGATGAAGTAAATAATTACATGATGACAATAAATCACAATACGTGGAACCCACAGTTGCAAGTTGCAACTTATTCCTATAAAACACACTTGATTAAATATAATAAAGTAGTTTAACGAATATTATAGAAATTTACGAAATACCAAGTTAGAGCTACTTTTATTTACTGATAGCTTATTTGAATTCTGTTTTGAGTCTTATATTTAAATATTTTCGATGGATTTTTTTTCCGATCCAAGGATCTAAACGTCCCTCGGATGGATTGGTGCAACGGACATGACCTTGATGACCATCTGTAAGTTTGTGATTTATAGTGCATGTGATCATCAGTTGTGGTTGGTTTTGTTGCTGTTCGGTTGGCTATATTTTATTTTCATTGTGTCCGCTTTAGTCTTATTGCCTGTTTATTGTTTCTTTCTTTGCTCTTTTTTTAATCTGATGTTGACCTGTTTTTCGCAAGAGTCTTGTACATTTATTTTTTATTATCTTAAAAAAAAAAAAATGGTTATTGGATTCCAGCTAGGTGACATGATATGCATGAATCATTAGATTTCAAATGTTTCTAAATATATTTATTTTATCAAAGAATTTGTTAAAATAATATAACTAGTTATTTATGTACGGTTTATTAAATACTTACTCGATAAATGTTTATTGGGTAATATTTTTTAGTGGATGAACATAACAAGGGTAATAAAATCTTACCTGATAAGAGCAATGATAAAGATGGAGAATTTTACTCGGTAAGTGAGAGTGAAGACTTTTACCCTGTAAGTGCTTACCGGATAAATTATTGCATAGAATAGCATTTTGATGTACTACAATTTTACCCGATAAAATAAATTATAGTGTTAACTTTTGACGTTAAGCACTAACTGGGTAAACATTTAGATAAACGACTCCTTACTACGTATTTCAAAACCCATGTTGATGATGGATTGATCGACTTTTTATATAATGTCGATATTACAGTCGAGAGGACCGAATATTTTCCCCCAAACATCTTTAACAGTTTTTTTTATAATTATAATATTTTAGCAATATTTATATTTTAATAATTTTTTATGTGGTTTTTTAAATAGAGAAAAAAGATTAAAAAAATTGAATTTAAATAATTCTATGAAGCTTAATATGCGGATAAGAAATGATTTTTTTATTATTAAATTGAATGTATTGTTATTTAAAAAAAATTAAATATACTAAATGACAAATTTATAATATATTTGAACAATAAAATCTCAAAAAAAAAATTACAATAAAATATAATGTTAAGCTCTTTCATTCATCAGCGGCAAACCATCAGGAGGGTGAACTTTTTATGGGTTGTTTGGTAGTTACGGAATGGTTTAGTTCATAATAGTTATGTGGTTAGAATGGTTAAAGAGTCAGAATGATTTAATGCATAATGAAATAAAGCTGTTTCGTAACTGTTCTCTGAATAACAACAAATTATCATTTTAACCCTCTATATGATTTAGTATATAATGAAATATAGTTGTTTGGCATGTATCTGAATAAAACAATTACTTTGCATATATAACTACATATTTCATATTAATTCAAACAAACTTAACATTACTAGTTCAAAACAAGGTTTCATATTAATCCAAACAAACATAACATTACTTTTTCAAAATCTATAATAAACAAAAACATAACAATCAAATTCCAACATAATAGTTTTTGAACAATTTTTAATTTGACGAATTTAACATTAACTGATTTACAGTCTGGTCACGTAAATTAGCCATGTATTCATCGTTTTGAATGCCAAAAGGCCTTCCATCTATGTCATCTTCATTGCCTCTCTCGATTTCTTCTTGTCCCTCAGCAATAAACATGAGGTCATTGTTGCAATCTATGAATAACTAATCATGGATATTGCATTTTCATATAAAATTATGAACCTCAAAATAGGCAATCACAATGTTTCTTTGTATGCAAAACGGATAGGGAGCCATTTGCATAAAACCTGGAAATCTTGCCTTCAAGACACCTTGGAAATCTTGCCTTCAAGACAACATAGGCACGCTCGATAACGTTTCTGAGTTGCGCATGAGCATGGTTGAACCTTTCTTCTTTTTTCAAGGCACATTGTCGTCGGAAATCAGCAAGCCAATACCTCGTATTGCGATATGGAGTTATAAAACCACGAGTATTAGCATAAGCAGTATGACAAAGATAATATTTATTTACAATCGAAATTTGAGCTTAACACCATTATATAAAATGTATAAGAAATGGTAAACATTTAAATTGAGTAAAAATTGTACATACCTCGTGGAGGAAATGGAAAGCTAGAGGTTGGACTAAAAGCAACTTCTCTCAACAGTCTAGGATCATGTGTTATACCCTCTCATCCAACCTAAACGTACGTGAAAAACATATTAAGATCACAAATACCTAAAACATTTTGATAACATTCACCTATTTCCTACCTCTATAGCGAGCTTGCAGATCAACAGACACAATTGTATGTATGAGAGTTCCATCTAATGCACCTATTGCCCCATTTATTTTGAAATAGAAATTAATACAAAATATAACAGGTTTGTTGGTTTCAAATATGGTGACTCCGGATTATCTATAAAATGAATGGTCATCATGGGATTAAATGGTTCATATAGTAGATTGGATATCGAAGTTAATAAAAAAAAAAATTGCAGGGAAAGAGAAAAGGAGAGCATTGAAGTGGAAAATGAAATAAAGGAAAGTGTTGATGCAATATATTTCTTTTTATTTAGTACAAAATATGAAAGAGGTAGGACCCACCATGATGCAAGTGCCCAAATTTCCTTTTCAAACTAATTTCGCATCATTAATAAAATAAAAAACACTACAATGATTGTATTAAATAGTTTATACAAATTAAAAGTCCAAAGTAATTATGATTTGTGACCACGGTTAAGGCGGCTCTTTTGGTTTTACCCAATATTCTAGAATGTTTGGTTTATGGAATTTGAAATAAAATTTTAATTTTTATAAACAATTTATAAAAGTAATTAAATTATTTTTTAATTGATTATTATAAAATAAATGTTTTTAATATATTTTAAAATATTATTATAAACAAATTTTTTTAAAATTCCATGAAATACTATCTAACTACGAGGAGGTGGGGATAGGGGGAATATATCATAACTACTGCATAAATACAGTAATGCGTTTCTAGGGATTTTTAGAGTTTTCTTGTGGATTTCGGGGGATTTTTTTAGTGTTTTTATCGATTCTAAAGGACGGTTTTTTGATTGATTTCAAGAGACATTTTGGTTGATTTGAAGGTACTTTTTTTTTAATTGGTGGAGGTAGAGGCGGGAAATTACTGGGAGAACTATAATAGAATGTTAAAAACAATTGTTTTTAACCTTTGTAAAATAGAATTTTATGGGGTCCATATCGTCACCTTTTGACTACTACATCCGCCTCTGCTCCTCAAACTCTTACATATACATAAACACTCTTTAACACTAATAGTTGTCATTTGAGTATATGAATAGTCATAAACCCTGAATCATATACAAGCTATAGTGATCCTCTTGATAGTTATCATCGATGAATCTCAATTTTTTTAACCTGATGTGACACAAAATAATTACTATAATATAAATAAAATATAAAAAAGTATTTATAAATAACAAACACAAAGAAGCCAGTTCCAATTTAAACGTCTTATAGTTATTGTTATAGCATTACACTGCGGTTAACCATTAAACTTAAATTTAAGCTTTAATATATTATTGTACCCTCTCAAATTTTCGATGAGCATGTCCAATGATAGCACAAACAGATTATAATAATACCACCATTAAGAATCATAAAAAATTTACATTATGAAAGACAATATCAATAATGGCACCGACTATACCCTTCATAGTCATCAAGTTACTTCATTTTGATAACGATAAAATCATATTATTAGGTTTGTGAAACAAATGCGGTTTTGATGAATATGGAATAGAAAAAAAAGGTATGTAAACCACAAGAGTGGTGTCTGATTGGTTGGAGCTTGGCTTCAACGGTCAAAAGTACCAGGAGGTCCTACGTTCAAATCCAAAGAGAAATAAAAATTCACTTGTGGCCACGGAGGTTCAAATGCGGTGACTCCGGGCTATTTGCAAAGCAGGTGGTCGCTCTGAGATTAATCGGCTCGCATGACGGGTTTGATATCCAGGTTAATAAAAAAAAAGTATGTACCTTATACTAAAGGACTTCTTTTTCAGAGTAGATTATGTCGTGGTTTTAAAATTTCGGTTTTCATCTATACGATTTTCAATTCATTTATATTTTAGTCCTTGAGGCCAAAACATTACTTTAAATATGAAGGAGTAAAATAGAAACGAGTCCTAAACCATAGGAACGGAAAAAAAAAAAATTCTAAATCATAAAAACAAAAGAGATAATAAATTATAAATTATAAAAATTATAATTATAATTTTAAAACTATAAAGTCTAAAATAGAAATATCAACAAACCAGATTGACTAAAAATCTATAGTCTTTATTTTATGTAAATCACATGATTGATAATTGTTTTAAGGATAAATTATCATTTTTTATTATAAAAGCACATCAATCAAATATAGTTTACATCTATAGCTGTAAAAAGAATCAGCAATATAATCTATACTATATTATAAAGTATTTGACAAAAATTCTTAAAAATCATTTTTTATGTATGAAGTATTGTTTATTGATGCATATTACTTAAAATTCAAGAGTACAAGTAATTTTGCCTAAATACAACATATTAAAGTTTTATTTTTAAATTTGTGTAACTAACTGCAGATAAATATAACTAAATACAGGATAAACATTCATTTTTAAATATAGAAAATCTAAAATATAATTAAGATAATTATTGAGTTATAAAAGAATGTTTAATTATC